CCACCAACATGATGTACTTGCTGCTCATTGGGGCCCAGGTGCTCCTGGGCATCGGTGCTACCCCTGTGCAGCCCCTGGGCGTCTCCTACATCGACGACCACGTGCGGAGGAAGGACTCCTCGCTCTACATAGGTAGGAGCTGTGGTGGTGCCGGGTTTGCTCCCCTGTGGTCCATGCTCTGTTAGTAGCAGGGGCGCCTTAACAGAGGAAGGCAAGGTGGGCCCCCCGAGCTTCTTAACGGTTCTCCGACGTGGCTGCACATCTGCAGGGGGTGGGGTTGAAAAATGGGGATGCCTGAGTTGCACCCCCAGAAAATCCGGTGTAGTTGGTCTGCCGTGCCACTGGGACTCCCCAGGTGATTTCCGTGTGCGGCAGATTTGGAGGTCCTGCTTTGCTCCCGCATGAAGAAGCTCGAAGTGGGAAGACGTGGTCAGGAAGGGTTAACACGTATTAATCTGCCATGGGTATGGGGACTTTGAGCCATCTGGCATTAGCCACCGAGGTCTGTTGGGGTCTACACCTTGGAAGCCCCAGTGTTTAATAATCAAACTGATCTTCTGGTCATTGTCCTGTTGAAGTTCAAAGAGACGATTACACCCCGCCCCCCCCCCCCCCCCCCCCCCCCCCCCCCCCCCCCCAGCATTTGGTATCCTTCAGAGTTGGTGACTTGTGGTAACTTTCTGCATGGGGGGTGTGCCAGGAACTGGAGATTTAGGGAAAAAAGAAGGTATGTGTGCGTTTTAAATTTCACACCGTGATAGCTTCTGTTACTTTGTACTGGCACATTGGAAGCCCCTCACAGGTTACGGGGTTAAGGAACCTCCACGTGTGAGCTGTTCTTGCAACAAATGGGGTCCTCGCTGCTCTTGGGCACCGTGGCAAGGTCATTTGTATTGTGAGGGCCTGGCGAGCATCTCTATCCCTTGTTTACTAAGTGTGGATTACTAAGACTTGTCCCCACTCCCTGAGCGCTCAGCTTTGGCAGAATTCCTTCTACCCGTGGAAACTTTTTCTCTCCTGAAGCACTGTGCTTTGAAGTATTAAGTTAATGATCACACAAAGGTTTAGGTTAAGCTAGAATGGAGCAGAATTTGATGGAAAGCTCTCTACCCGGGCAGCTTCCACTGTTGATGAGCTAGGAGGGTTTGGAGCAGTTACGCAGCTCCATGCCGGGTTTCCTCTGTGACTTTCTGTCCCAGCTGCAGAGTAAATGCTTTTGTTGAAAACCTGTGCTGCAAATGTTCACGGTTCTCTGTGAACGGGCTCAGGGTAAGAAAGGTGGATGGAAAGCGTGTGCCTGTCCATCTAGGGCTGGAGCCTGGTCATGACTTCTCTGTGGAACACGACGTGGGAGAGGGGACTTCCCAACCCACGATGGCCAGACCCTCTCCCCCTATGGTTAGGGTGGGTACTGGGGATGTCATTTACATTTTGTTACTTCGGAAGCTTGAGCGACAGCGATCCCAAAGGAGTGTGTCGCAGACTAGAACGTGGGTCACGGCATGTAGCCAAATAGCCTCCTGAGGTCCAGCCAGACACTTGGTCTAGGGCTTGACTGATGGCATCCTAAGACCCTGGGAGAGATGTTTTCTGGTAGCAGTTAACAGTAAGTAGATAAAGCTCAGAAGAGGAAATGGGGGAATGAAAAGCGGAGTTCTTGTCTCTGATGACAGAACCAAGCAGAAAAATTTCTCCGGAGTCCTTCCTCCTAGAGGTCTAGAACCCTCTTTTGTAAGTCTCCCTGCTGAGTTAGGTTGGGGTCTTTTCCTGCACTGGCCGGGGCCTGGTTTGGTGCACAGAGCAGTAGGATGAGGAAGTGCTTTGGTTTTGTGTGTGGGCGGTGGAGGCGGGCGGTGGGGCTGACCATTCGAGACAAAGGGCCGTCTCCAGTTCTGAGGCCACGTCGTGGGATTTGCCACGAGTCTTTGTTAGGAAGAATGTTTCGGGCAAATTTCTATTCGGGTACCATTTTCTTTCTGTGATAGCTAGAGTTGGAAGTGTCCATTGGGTGCATGGACATCTTGGTGGCACTGGTCCATCCGGAAAATTCCAAAACATGTGGCCATTGAGATGGGCTCTCTGTCTCTGGACTGGTTTTATGGGTCTGTGTTTCCAGGGACCAGGAAAGAGTCAGCCTTCTGCAGAGTTTGGCCTCAATAGATGGCTGCCTTATCCCATGCAAGCTTTGGGTTGTTCCAGGAACAGTTTAGGAAGACCACAGTATATGAAGAGTAACTCGTTCATTCATGGGTTGTACAGGACATAAGAAAGTGTTTGTGACCGTGAGGATATTTTAGCATTTATCTCCTCTAATGGGGAGCTAGTTCCTGAAGCCACTTAAAGCTTGAGGAAGTATGTTGGGGAACCTGCTGAAAGGGACTGATGAATTATGGCCTTACATACTGCCTGTAGAGAGGAGGGGAGTCTGAGGGCACTGGGAGCGTGCGTGTGGATGCACACTCATTGTTGTTGAATAGCACGTGTGTCCCCTGGTTCCAGCTCCTGCAAAGCTGGTTGAGAGAGAGAGGCTCACAGCCCGCCATCTGGTCATATGCCTAATAATGTGAGTGTGGGCTGGAGATGGAAACTCCATTATGAAGATTATGAAGACTTCCATGTGTAAAATACAGACTTATTCATAGCTGATTCTTTCCTGTGGGTGTCAGCGGGGAAGGGGATGATGACCATGTATTCTCAGCCACAGGCCGTTGGTGGCCAGGCCTGCCTCTGGGTTGCACGTCGCCAGTTGGTGCCATGAACGTTATCTACGGCCACACCCAGAGCCTCTTCATGCAGGGGAGATGGGAACATTCGTTCCATCTTGAGTCAAGCCGATACAGTCCCCTGGAATGATTATTTGCTCTGGACTCCTGTGGCTGAGCCACTGCCAAGCTTCTGGATTCCTCGAAGGGCCATTCACAAGGGGCTTCTCTGGCTGTCACCAGTCTGTGGCTGCCCCTTTCCAGCGTGGGGAAAGGGAGCCAATGGAGCTCATTACCAGGGGACAAAACCCGCTGAATGGGAACACGACTCTGCTGGCAGGCTTTTCACTAATGCACAGTGTGGAAGCCAAGCTCACGGCGCAGCTAGACAATGACCTGTGGGTGGCACATGGCAGTCTTTCTTCCTAGATGGACGGAAGGGCCAGGGGGGCAGTGGAAACCATTCGACGTGGGGCCTGATGAGGGTCCAAGAATAGACCTTTCAGGAGTCTCCTCAGTGACCCTCCATTAGCCCAGTTTTCTTAGCTGTTCTGTTTTTTTTTTTTT